ACTTGAAGCTACTGGGGCAGCTGGAATAGGTGCTTTCTGTTTATCTCCTAACCTACCTTGGGTATCCATTCCATGTAACCATTTGAATCCTCTTTCCTAGGTCGGGGTTTCCTTCGTAGAGAAATAAAGCTTAAGCAGTACTGCCTTTTCTCCATTAGTGGTTAGCATGGTCAGTCACCTTCAGCAGCATCTTATCCCCTCTTTAATAATTCTCTTTGGCTCTTGTCTGAATCAAATTAAAAATTCCTTCTTTTTGGCCTAAATTTTCATCACCAGCTTCAGCTCCTGCTAAGCTCTGGCTCTCCAACATCCTTCTTAAAGGACTGTATTCCATTTTGGTATTCGTTCTCAGTGACGTTCCTGGGTATCCACAACTTTAGACATTTGCCCCTTTTCTTTCTCTTTAAAATCACCACTGGGGGCAATTAGGTGGTGCAGTGGATAGAGCACCAGGAGGAACTGAGTTCAAATGTGGCCTCAGACCAAACACTGGACACTTACTAGCTGTGTGACCCCGGGCAAGTCACTTAACCCCGATAGCCTAAAAAAAAAAATCACCACTGTTCGTATTTTGAGAATTCCTTGTTGGCAGCTTCTTATTGTCCTTGGGTTGCCTTCCCCTCTAGAATCTTAGGCCATGGAATCCTGTTCATCCTTCCTCTAAATTCATAGGATCATAGATTTAGAGTTAAAAGGGACCTCAGCATTTAGCCCCGGTATAGGTAAATATGGTCAATGTGGAGCAGCAGCTGTAACCTGCTCCACAGCAGCAAGTGTCCTCGTAGGAACTTTGCTTCAGTCCCAGATCTGCTTCCAGCAAGCATAGGGAACACGGGCCCAGGCACTAATGGTATTCTACTGAGGGTATTGAGGGCATGTGACTAGGAAGCTGTGACTTCACCACCAGGATCCTAACCTGCCACACCCACCCCGGAGGTCAAATGTTGATTTAGCCAGGAAAAGAGGAACATGGTAGCTCTCCTCAAGTGGCTGAAGGGCTGTCTTGTAGAGCAAGGGATCTGGCTTGTTTTGTTGGTCTTCAGAAAGAAGAGTTGAGAAACATCCGTAAGACAGATACATCTAGGCTCAGTGAGAGAAAGAGCTTCCTAACAGAGAGAGTCAAGTCCAAATGGAATGAGCTGTGTCTTCCAAAGGAGCTGGTTCCCATTTCCTGGAGTTCTTCTAGGGGAGCCTGGATGACTCTTTGTTAAGTGTGATTCTTGTTCAGATATGGATTGGACAAGATGGTCTCTAAAGTTTTTTCCAAATCTTGAAATTCTTTGAATCACCTGATTTTACAAATTAAGAAGGAAATGACCTGCTCATGGTTATGTAGGTTGGGATTCAAACACAGGTCCTTTGATTCTGAATCCAGGCTTCTTTGCAGGCACCATGCTGCATCTTTGAAATCTGTTCTCTTTAAATCAATGGTACACTTTAGATTATGTCTGAATTTCCTCTTGAGGCAGCTGGGTAGCTCAGTGGATAGGTGCTGGGCATGTAGTCAGGAAGACTCCTCTTCCTAAGTTCAAATCTGGTCTCAGACACTTATTAGTTGGGTGACCCTAGGCAAGTCATTGTTTGCCTTGGTTTCCTATCTGTCAAATGAGCTAGAGAAGGAAATGGCAAACCACTGCAGTATTTTTGTCAAGAAAACCCCAATTGGGGTTGGACATGATGGAAAAGACTGAACAACAACAGTTGCCTTTCCTCTATCATTAGTTTTAAGATCACTCATTTCTTCTCAAGGTTCCCATTTCTATTTCAGCAGGCAGCTCCTTCTAATTATTCATTATCTCTACGGAAGTCCTTCCCAGCTCAACATTATATGGTTCCAAGTAGTCAGAGAGCTGAGAGCAGAGTAAGTGGCAGGGGAGAAGAGAAGGGGATTTGCGCTGGCCAACAAGATTGCAGGAATGGAGCAGTTTATATATGGGGTTTTTAGCCACCCTTTTCTCCAACTTGATTCCTAAGAGCCTAAGGCAGTGTTGCCCAAACTGAAATGGCCATAGGATACCTTGGGGCTTGAAACACATTGATAAAATATTGGGGTCATGGGATGTGGAGAACTCTAGGATGAAGAGAGTTGTGGTTAAAATTTTAGAATGAAATGGAGGAAATTGAGCCTATCGCTAAATACTCATCAAACCCAAGTATTTTCGACACACAGAAAAATTCAATATTTAATATTTTAGAGGGGGAAAGTATGGCTGTCTAAATTTTCTTCCAGAATCCTTTTTGTATTATGTGGAATGTCAGGGTCCCTTAGGACACAATTTGGAAAACATTGGCCTAAGACAGACCTACACAAATTGGCAATAGGTAGGGCCAAAATTAAAATAGGCTAAACTTTTTCAGGTCACAGATATGGGCGTGGACAAAGCACTCATTCCATCTTTACTTTCTTTTATATCCTCTCCATCTTCATGGGCCACCCAAAATCCTTCAGTGGGCTACAAGTGGTCCACGGGCCATATGTTGTGCAGGCCTGGCCTAAGAGCTAGTGGGAGCTCTAGCATTGGTGCTGACTCATCCTACCCAGAATTCAGCCCAGTCTTGCAGGCCTCTTATATGCTGTACCCCCTGACCCTCCAAGTGATGCAAGTGATGGAAACCATCTTTGGTGACTTGGTGTTTTTTTTCTTCTTGCAGCAGCTGCGGGACAGCAGGGAAGACCTGGGGCTGGAGAAGGAGCTTCACAGTCCAAGTCCTGTTCTATTCAGTAGTGCAAATCTTTGCATTACTGCCACTCAAACCCTCCAGGTGGATGGTTCTGGGAGAGGGAGCCAAACACTGAAGGGGAAAAATGGCAAGTCAGCAAGTCAGAAATACAACTTTTTGAGAAGAAAATAAATTCTAGAGTCATCAGATGTCAGTCTTAGAAGGGACCTCAGATAGACTGGATCTATTCATAGATAAGGAAACTGAGGGAAGTGACTTGCCCAAGGTCACACAAGTAGTTATGGCAGGATCCTCTGATCGAATGCAGTGTAGAGAACACAATAGATAGATAGGTAGGTGGATAGATGGATGATGGATACAGAGATGGATAGATATATGATAGATGGATAGATGGATGGATGGATAAATAGCTGGATAGATGATGGATATATAAAGATAGATAAACAGATAGATGAATAGATAGATGGACTTTCATGAAGTATTTAATATGTGGTGCAGGGCATTGTGCTAAGCAATGACCATCATCATGCAAAGTCTTTGCTTTTACACATCTGCTGGTTCCCTTGCCCATCTGGCCTCCTGTTCTCTAGCCCTGGTTGCTTCCATTACTTGCTTGAACATATGGGCTTGGGAGAACTTGGCTAGTAGCTCCATATGCATTCTGAACAGAAAGATAAAAAATAACTCTATATTCAGGACAGCAGTTACTCAACCTTTAGGCACATTAAACACGCTCTATGTTGTATGGTTTTGGGGGAAAAATTGATCCCGTCCACCACCACCCCTACTGATTTTCTCCAGACTCTCTTAGGTATGAGACTAAGGATTTAGAGTGTGATGGAGAGTCAGAAGATCAAGTTTCATATCCACAATCTGCAATTTACTAGCTGTGTGACCTTGGGCAAGTCACACATATTTTCTCATCAATAACATGAAGGGGTTGTATTAAGTTATCTCTAAGGTCCCCTCCATCTCTAAAGCTTATGATCTAATGCACCCAGGCGATACACATTTGCAAGAAAGAAGTGTTTGATGTGATGTAATTACTGGCAAGATACTTTATATAGCATCCCTCACATCAGCGTGTTAACAACCCAGTACAGGGAAATTAGACTGCAGTGCAAGCTGGATGAACCCCATGGGTCCTGGATTTCACCCTTATCTTGAAAAGTACCGATTTAATGGGGGGGGAAATGCTGATTTGGCTGTCATACTTTGTCTTACATGTACACAGTATCATTGTTAACAGTGAAAAAAATATTTTTTAAAAAATCTATGGTGTGTTGCAAGTTTTCAGGCACGAGGGGGAGCCCAAGGCAAAGAATCTGGTGCCCATGTAATAATACTGTCTATATTCCCAATATGTTTTTGTTGTCTTGGGCCTAGGGAGCTTGAATAGGCTTGCTCCACCTCCAAACCTAACCCAAAGTAAAATCATTTAATGAGAAAGCAAGGAAAGAAAAGTTGCAAATCTCGGACAGATTTTCCCATTGTCATGCCATCAGTGGGAAAAGCAGATGCAAAAGGAATCCTCTGGAGGGTCATGCACACAAGAACATGCACGGGCAGGGTACAAATGCAGAGGAGTGCAAGTGTATGGAACATTTGGAAGAGTGACTCACAGCTCTGATGCTGCTGCCGGGCCACTGCTATCTTCCGATGATAGCCCACGAAGCAAGCCAGAGTACAGTTCTGGGTATTGATTTCAAGCCTAGGATTCCTAGCTCCTTTGGCAATTCCAGTTGCCCTGAACTCTCTGGGGAGGGGGCTAGAGACAAGGTGGTTTCTCACAAAACCCCCACTTGTCAAATTCCTGCCTTCTCTCAGCCTGGACAGACAAAGTCCAACTGACAGAACTACAGGAGAAAGAATGACAGCCCTGCAAGGGACTTGGGAACACAGAATATCAGAGGCAGAAGGGCACTCGGAACACAGAAATGTTAGAGCTAGAGATCATTGAAGTCCAAGTCTCATCTTACAGATGAGGCAACCCAAGCTAAACTCAAGGTCACCTAGCTAGTGAGTGATAATGTGACAGCTAAAACCCAGGCCTCCTGCCTCGCAGGGCAGGGCTCCTCCCTCTGCATCCCCAAGCTGAGTCCTTCAGGGATGACTGCTTTAGAGAGTGGTCAAGTGTTTACCATGTGGCTTGCACGGTGGCATATGTGGAATACCTGTAGGTGACTTACCTGGTAGACTTCTTGGAACCTGGGCCCCACACACCGCCTGCACCGACAACGTCACCTACTCTTGCCCCTAGCCTCAGGATCCCAATTCAGCGACCGGACAGAGCTAATAAAGAAGGGTCTTGGCCAGCATGTGTCCATGTGTTTTGTATTGTTTTTAAACACAGTAGTGTATTTGTTATAGTTTATTTATAGGCGATCACGTCACTATTTACAGTACATGAGCAAAGAGATTCTACAGTCTTTGTGATGTAAACAATTAGCTCCACAGCTGGAGTTTGAAAAAAAGAAGCCCGTTCTGAAGTATTTACAGAAGTTAAAATAGAACTTTATACTCACGGGATAATAATACACAGAGCAATTTGGTTAAATTATCTATGAAACTATAGAATCTGACAATGTAAAAATACAAGGAAACGTTTTCTCATTTAGAAGGTAGACAGGTAAATCACACTAGAAATAAAATAACAACAACAACAATAACACCAACAACACTGAGAGGCAGAGGAGTCCCTTGCCTTTGAAGGTTAAAGTATATTATATAAATAAGGACACATCCCAACAGAAGCGGGAAAATATATAAAAACCTCTACCAATTAAAAAAAATAGCAAAACTAAAAACTTGATTCTCAATCATTAGCGGTGTCTTTTACAAAATTAAAATTGAGCTTTCTATTATAAATAACAAAGCAGATGTGTCCCTCTGTAGGTGAAATTCTTGCACCTTTCTCAAGAAATGCATCAACTGAATTTCTCTCTCTCTCTCTCTCTCTCACACACACACACACACACACACACACACACACACACACACATATGCATGGGCACTCTTTGCTGCATTTACCTTGCCTAGCTTCCTGATCAATAATGCCCCAAACTGTGCCCTTTTGCAGGGATGGGGATCTGAGCTCATGGAACCATCCCCAGGTTCTAGCCCATGATGGAAAGATAAAGGCTTCCCTTAGCTCAATATTGCTGAGGGTTGTCAAGGTTGGGCTGAGCTAAGCTGCCACCTGACCCCTAGAGCCAGGGATTAAGGCTCACCTATAGACAGAGAGCATTATTCCATCAGAGTCAGAGTTCCTGGGGGTTGGGGCCTAGGAGGCCCCAGTGAAGATTTCAGAGCTAACCTTAGGATGCAAGGCTGGTTGGGAGGAGTGGGAAGGGATGGTGAGCAGAACTCCCTAAGGATTTAGGAAGACTGCCCTAACCTGGGACACTATAGGACCCTTTCCCCCTAGGATAAGCTGCCCAGAAAACCAAGTGGACCATCTCCTTTTCTACCAAATGCCCTCATCAAGACACTCTCTGGGATTCCCAAAGCCTTCTTGGTAGGCTATTTTATGACTTTTTATTCCTAACCTGAAAGCATTTGAAAAGCTATTTAAATACAAAAACTCCTTCATCTTCTCCATTGTAATTGAATATTCATTCAGCACCTACTATGTGCTCAAGTGCTTTCCAGGACATGGGAAAGAGCAGGCCTGGCCCTGCTTAGTTTTGGAGAAGCCTTAAGCTCCCACCTCATCCCTTATTTCCTTCCCTCTTTTGAGGGACAGGGGAGCTGTGCAGAGGGGTTACCCTAAGGATACCAGGAGTTAGACTTGCTGGTATCGTACTTTTTGGGAAAGCTGCTCCTTATACCATGGACTCACTCTATGGAGGTTCAGTTCAGGCTTGGTCCCCCATGTCCACAGTGGTATTTAGTGCAATTGAAAACATAATGAAATCCACGGAAAGTCTACAAAGGGGATGATTTCTAGGGCCTTTGATAACTAGTGTTATAATGGGCTCTGCCGTCCTCAGACAGAAAGCAAAAGGGAGAAAGTGGATTCCCACCTCCCCGCCCCCCACCCACCAAATACATTACATACCCTGCATCTATCCACTTTGGGCCTTCTCAGTCAATAAACATTTATTAAGCGCCTACTATGTGCCAGGCACTTTAGTAAGGCAAAAATGTTACCTAATTTCCAAGAGGCAGGCCCGATGGAAAATGCCCATGAGCTGATCACAACTCCAGGAAAAGTGACACATGAGTGATTTCTAGGCCTCCTCAGGTGAGTGGAGAGTTGAGAAGTAAGGTCTTCCTGTGTTTCAAAGTCAAGGGGCCAAAGGATTTTTAAAAGCTGGGACCTAAGAATTTTTGTTTGGTTTTCATTTTGGTCTGGATTTATAAGGTCATCAGTGCCAGGATCTCCTGACTGATGTCGATTGGCATTTCATCTGTAACTCAGAGCTTCAGTGAGCTTTTTGGAGGCACTGGTATATGGAGACTTGCCCATGGTCACATGGCTAGCATATGTGAGGCAGGGTTTGAACCCTGGTTTTCCTCATTCCAAGGCTAGCCCTCTACCTACTATGCTGCATTGTCTCTTGAGGGGAAAATCTAGTATAATGAAAAGAGCACCTGTTCTGTGGTCCAGAGGGCCAGGGTGTAAATCCTAATTTTGCTCCTTAATACCTGTATGTCCTGGGACAAGTCATTTAATCTCTCTAGACCTCTGGTTCTGCATCTTAAAACCCCTTAAAATAAAGGGGTTGGGCTAGATCTGTAAGGTCCCTTCCAGCTCTACATTGCATGTCCAGTCCCCCTCCTGCCCCTAATTTACAGATAAGGGCCCACGTTTGATGGCGAAGGAGAAGGAAGCCCATGTCTAGGTCTGCACCAGACAAATGTTTCCTCTTTATTAAAACCTACTAACACGGGTAGCATAATTGATGAACCATCACATTCCACCTATGACTTTTCTGTACATTTTCTAGTCATCTCAAGCAATGTCTGAAAAATCTTGCTAAACTATGCAGTTTTTTCAAACAAGCAAACTCCTAATGGAGAAAATTTCCCAAGGTGCATGCAGTATGAAGAGAGAGCAAAAGCTGTCTGGATATACCCTTCCCGTGAAAGCATTCACTGCAGAGAAGCCCTGATTCCCAGGCAGGCATCTCTGAATGCCATCTTCTCACATCATCCTTTAAGAGTCTATGGCTTAAGCTCTGAGGAGGCCTCCTCCATACAGGAGTAAAAATAACTGGTTCCCTGCATCTCGGCTGACTGACTCACCGAGAGTATTCATTCTGAGGGTTGGAAATGGCCCAGTGGCTAAAAACTAGATTAAAAAAAGCAGGTAGGAACCTATCCTACCTCACTATGGCTTGGGCTACCAACAGCTGCGGAAGGCAGTGAAGAACATAATAACATGATAGACTAACAGGATAGAATCTTAGGGTTCATCTAGTCCTCTCCACCCCTACCCCTGCCCCATCCCCTGCTGCAACCATTTTACAGAGGGCTTAAACTGAGTCCCACAGAGGGGAAGTCACTCAGCTATATAGTAAAGACAGCAGTTTCATAAAAGAGTGTTTTCTCACAGAGAGGTTGGCTTTATGTGAAATGTTTTTCAAACTCCTTAACCTCTTCTAATTTACTGGGCTTGTGATGAGACTAGGCGTGGTGTGGCCTTTTGTTTCTAGATTCTATTTTTGGCCACTCTTGCAAAGAAATCGGACAAAGTGCTCAAACAAGTGTGGTTTTCCTTTCATACATCTTCTAAATGAGGTGGCTTCTAGCCCTGCGTTTCCTTCCTCCACTGGCACTCACCTGGCAGCATCTTTCCTCATCCTGAGTTACCTCTTTGTACTGACAAAGAAGCAGATAGAACCTTCCTTGAATTAGCGTTTTCATCGAAGTGACCTACTGGCTTAATATAAAGTCATCCCATGTCTACACCCCAAAGCTCAAAGTGATCGGGCTCCAAAATTGAGAGTTATCAGACAAACGGTACTTGAGCGGCACGCTAAGGCTCCTGGCTTTCTTTTGAGCTCTCCTGGGCAGTGGTGCTGGAGGAAGACCGTGAACCTTGAGTCAGGAAACTTGGGCTTGAATCTCAGCTCTGCCAATAACCTTGGGCAAATCACTTAACCTCTACGAGCCTCAAATTACCCCTTTTGCAAAATGGGAGATAATAATTGCACTTTCTACTTTACAGGGTCACCATGAGAAATATGCTTCGTAAATTGTAAAGTGCTATAGAAACTGGAGTTGTTGTTTACAATATTGTTCCAGACTCAGCAAGGACCAGTTGAGTCAATTTTTCCTTTGAAATGCAAAAAGAGTTTGGGAGACAAGATCCAACATATTGCACAATGTTACTGATTCCCCACACTGGTCAGTGTAGCACAGAGAGGGGCCTTACTCTTTTGGCCAAGAAAATGTGGAAGTCTACCTTCCCTATACATGCAATCCCTTCCCCTGAGGGCTCTGGCTTTCCAAGCTTAGGAAAGCTTCCCCATCTCAATGGGAGCAGCTACCAGGGGATCCTTTGTTCTAGCACCCAGCACTATTAACAAAGCATATGGGGATGGCTGTGCTTTAGTTTATCATCATCATCAATATTCAGTCTTTCAAAGTCTCCAGGACAAGCTTCAAGTACAATAGCGGCAGCAACCAAAGAAATATTCTGTCCATGGTCAACCCCAGATAGGCAGGTTCCTCCAGCAGGACCCTAGCTGCTGACCTTCAGGCCTCTGGGCCCCCAGTGGCCCACCCTCCCCATGGGCACCAGTGTGCATATTGCATAAGTCTTGGAGAAATCTCTCAAAACTATTTTATAGGCTCTAGGCATTAAAAAGACCACTTATTGCATTTCTTCCTGTATTAGGATTTGAGTATTGAGTCTTTGAATCATGGGACCTTCTTTCCTCTTGCACTAGTGATGGCACTGTTGCTTTCCTAAGCCTGTACTAGGCCCTAACTCCATCTGCGTTACAGCTCTATGAGATTCTAAAGCAGAGGCAGATACCCTGGATGGACCCTTAGCTGCACTCAATCCATTCATAAGTTTCACATTTTTGATGCATTTTCCTTCTATAACCAGAGCCCAGGTGTGAGCTTTGATTCAGCCTTGTGCTGAGGAAGGAGATGGAAGAATTCCACTTAGCGGTTTGACTGCGTTTTGATTTGTTTTTTTAAACATCAGCACAGCACAGAGACGGATAGCACTGCCCATTCCTAGATGGGGGTGAGGAAGGCTATCAGACACAGTACACACAAAGCGATGTTATGGCAATCACATGTAAACATCATTGTGGGGAGGGAGAAAATACGAGGATAGGAAAAAGGCAAAGCTACAATGAGGTGGTGGCCAAAGGCAGCAAGAGGCTTGCTCACTCTGGGTTCCAGCTGGAGGTTTGGAGGGGAGGAGGCTGGGAAGGGTTGACCACAAGGAGAGGTACCAGGCTCTGGCCTTTTGTGGGAAGCACATAAACTCAGGATATCTGGGGACATGATGGAGTCACAATGATGAGCAGGGAGCCCAGAGGACTATACTTTGGCAGGCAGAAACGACTTGAGAATTAGTCCTTGAACACAGAGAAACAAGTAACTTAATTACTAAAAAAAAAAAAAGATCTGGAGGTCAGGGGCTTCCCCTTCACTATTCACCTCAGTCTCAGGTTTCTCTTTTTAATTCCCTCCCCCACAAACCTGTTCTCAGCAATTTCTTTCACACTGAGGTCAGAAGGAGACTCTCCCCAGGAATATGTACATGTTCACAGGAATCACAGCCATAAGTTACAGGCTGGGAGTGGAGGGGGGAGAGGGGAGAGGAGGAGTCTTAAATGATAGAATTAGACAACGTGGAAGCTAGAAGGGAACTTAGAACAGAGAACACTGGTCCTGGAAGGGGCCATGGGGATCATCTACTCCAATCTTTTCACTTAATAGATGGGGAAGTTGAGGCTGACTAGCAGATTAGGGTAAGGTCTTTCCATTGGAAAAAGTGGCTTCCTCCTTAGCTGCTTAACATCTCAGGCAGCGGCAGCAGAGGGCTGTTCCTAGAGTGAATGCCTGTTAGTCTCATGGAAAAGCGAATGACTCTAACTCAAGGAACACCATCAGCCCATGATAGAATGTCACATGTTCCACTCTATAGAATCCAAGTAGCTCTGTCTCAGAAAGTGCTACTTGGCTCCAGTTGGAATAAAGGGGGATTGTGATGGTGATTCAGAAAAGCCTACCCACTATGGGTTTCCTCCCTTCTCTATGGATGAGTTAATATTGTAATGTTACCTGCAAGGATCCTAGCTACCCCACCTCAAAGTACAGGAGGAATCTGTACTCTGCCTAATGTTCAATCGATTGGTTCTCTGAACCGTTTTCCTGGCATCAGGTGAAATGCCATCCCAGGAAGCAGCTGATGCTACGGGAACAATGTTTCAAATTGTTATATTGCAATAGTCAATGTCACAGGAGATTTTAATTAACATATTAAAAACATGTAATCATGAAATGACATTAGTCAGGGCAAACTTTTATAGATCATGCCAGAAACAAGAACTGAGCACATTTAGCTAGCAACAGTTTCCTATGTGAAGCTTGAGTAAAACCTGCCATGAGAGTTATAGTCACCCCAGAACTGTGATAACTGGACTTGAACATGATTGGTTCTATATTTTGGGAACCCTCCTTCCCCAGGCTGGCTACTGGCCCAGTAGAAGAGGTAGTTAATGTGGGCAGTGCTGAGCTGATGCTGTGATTTCTGGCCTGGTAAAACTCTCAACTTCTGGACTGCGTGATGGATGGGAGATGAGAGAGCGCTGAGAACACAGGGCCTCTGCAGAGACCATTCCCCATGCCACTTGAGTTTCTGAAATGTACTTGCTCATGGCCTCTTGGAATCCAGACAACAACAGCCTCATGGCTAGGGCCAGTTCACAAGGACCCTGGCTGTAACTAAAGATTTTCGGGGACTAGGCATAAGAAGTGGGGCAGCACTGTCTCAACTGACGCAAACTTCCTCCAAGACCCTCTTCCCACTTGACTCTTTTGTGGCTAGGATCTTCTCAGATATTCATAAGACATGCTCTTTAGCCAAGCTCTTTGGACAATATTTACAAAATTAGCTCCCAATTCCCAAAGGATTCTTTCTGCCACCTGTGAACAAATTTACATGTCTCATGGTTGGGATGGCTGCATGACCTGTTTTCACTTGAGGGCCACGGATTAATATCTGCTCTTAACAAAAGCCCAGTATCTAAACTGCAGGTGGAGAGGATAGGGGTACGGACCGGACCTGTAATTGTATTAGTAAAAGGAACTCCTGGGTGAGGAGTTTCCCTCTGCCAATGCAGGCCATTATTTTCTCTGAAACTTAGAGCTTTAGAGATTTGCCTAAAGCCAAGAGGTCAAGTTACTTGTCTAGGTTCACACAGCCAGTATGTGTCAGAGTTGGACTGGAGTCTTCCTGGCTTGGAGGGCAGCTTTCTTACCCTACTACATCATACCGTCTCTCTCATTGGGAGTGGGCAGTTTCAGTAAGTATCGTTACTGGTAGCAGCTTAAAGTTTCTAAGTGCTCTTCAACTGTCAGGGATCGCTGGGTTGGTAGTTATTGGAAATTTGGTACAGTTTCTTGTCTGGTAGCTCAACCAGGAGGGCAAATGAGAATCAGAATGGACTGTTATGCCACAGGAGTGTATAACATTGCCAAGGAAACCCCATGGACAGTACTGGCATGGTATAGTCCACGGGGTCATGAAGAGCCAGAGACAACTGAGCATAACAACAAATGTATAGTGTAGCCAACCCAGTCCAATTGTGATTGAAACTGCACAACTCAGAGGCTTACTCTGAACTTCCCCGACTTTGGACAGTCTCATCCTGGACCTTCAGCCATTGCTCTGGAGGCTGTGGTTCTGCCACCCAAAGTAGCCAATGCAACACTGTGGGCTGGGATGATGTTGGGCGGACAGATGGAGAGGACTGGGATGAGGAAGGATGAGGGTTGGAAGATGGGCTGGTGACAGATGGAGCTTCACACAAATGTCCATCCAGCCTCCCGCTTCAGGGAGGAGATGAAGTCCAATGGATCCAACCCCTCCCTGCTTTTCCTCCTTCCTTCTTTTCTTCCTTCCCTCCCTCCCAGGGTCAGCCGGGAGTCCATCAGCACAGTGGCAAGCACCTCATTACAGTGCATAGTTAAGAGATCCAGGAAGCGGCACAATGAATTAGTTCGAAGTACAGTACATCTGAGCCATAAATATGGTATTTTAAGTACATACTTTTTTTTCTGCAATTAAAAATTAGTTTATAGTCCTGATTCTATTCACAAGTAACGTTTTTATCATCACACACTACAGACAGAAAATGTGATGGGAACATAGCTGCAACTCCACAATGGGAACCGGGATGGGTAGAGGGTTAGGAGAACTGGGGCTGGGTGGCAGAATGCTTACAGATGCACTGAAACAACCAGTCTGAAGCAAGGATACTAAAGTGTGGCAGTGGAACATTAACACCATGGAAACTCACAAACAGAAGCAGCTTTGTTCAATGTAAACATTGATTTAAAGGGACAGCAGTCTCAGTCTCTCTTTCTCTCTCTCTCTCGCTCTCGCTCTCTCTCTTTCGCTCTCTTTTTTCATATACTTAATTTCTTTGAAAACGTAAACATATTGGAAGGGCCTTGACTGAGGTATTGAGGTATTCCTCTAGGATTAAGGCTGTTATCGATGTAGGCTTCTCTGGGCCTCCTTCAGCAAGCTGTCAAAATCCATGGCTTCATACTTGTTTTTCACCGAAGCCGGGGAGGCCTCTTCTATATTGGAATCTGAGGAGGGCAGGGACAAGAGGAGGAGTGAGAGACTGGACCAAGCCTAAGTGGCAAGATGCATGCCACCTTGGGTCACCCCACAAACCGATGGGGGCAGTGAGGGGCAGGATGTGGGGTAAGCCTGGGATTGGCTTTTCTGAGGTCAGCCTCTATGGTTAGGGAGGGTCCCCAGATACTGTTCCCTTAACATCCCTAATAATAGACTTAAAGAAAGTTGGAGCTAGAAGGAAGCTTTGAGATCACCTAGTCTAACACTCATTTACAAATGGGGAAAACTGAGTTTCAGAGAGATTAAAGAATTTGCCGGAGGTTACACAACTAACATGGCAGAGCCAGGATTAGAATCCAGGTCTTATGACTCTTAAGACAGTGCCCTTTCCACTGCACTAAATTGGTTACCCTTAAATGTATAGGAACCCTTGGTGGTTCACATGTACATATGTTTAAATGTATATGAACCCTTGAGGGAAGCATTTCATATTTCAAGGGGTACTATCTTGGAGTGAAGGGGGGTCATGAGTCCTGTAAATGGAACCTTTGTTGTTGCCCCTAGTGGTGAACACGGAAAATATGAGCCATTTTTGGTCTCTGAGGACAACATCCAGTTTAGGGACTGATAATTCTGCCCTTTTTATCCTTATAGCCTCGGCTACTAAAAGGACCAGGATAGATACAGAGACCCTTTGAAGGGGCTGTGAAATCAGCCTCCATCTAGAGACAGAAGTCTAGTTTTTCTAAGGCTTAAAGTAACAAATGTTTCTTCAAACATTGTTTTCCCCTCTGAACACAGCCCAGGGAATGGTAGTAGTGGAGAGGGCAAAAGGGGAAACTGAGTGAACCTTGCAATCCAAGGATGTGGGCTGACTTTGCAGTCTTACCGAAGTTAGTGCATCTGGTCCAGAAGAACTGCCCAAGTCCCCCGTAGCTCAGTTGGAAGAAGGGCTCGTTGCGCTTCCTCAGGGCTGCACCATTCCTCAGGGACAAGGCTGCGTGCTCTGAACACCGATAGGTAATAAAACCATCTTTCTCACCCCTGGAGAACAGAGCAATGAGGAGTCGCAGGTTACCCATGAGGAGAATTCTCATGGGCCAGTGCTGGCCTTTGGGTAATTCATAATAACAGGTACAGTAGAATACTTGACATTGATATAGTACTTTAAGGTTTGAAAAGCAATTTACATATCTTATCTCATGCAGGGCACTGTGTAGATGAATACCAAAAGATTCTTCACCTCTAATCATCATGATGGGAAGAACAATGCCTTCCACTGACACAGTCCCTTCCAACCATAGAGCTCAAGTGTCCCTACTTCTAAGACGCAGGTAAACACGAACTTTGTACTAAGGTGATGGACAGAAAGAGCAATCAGGACAACAAGAGAGAGAACTGAAGACCATGTCATAGCGATGTAGTATAGGAGATGAAACAAGACTCCCCTTTTCTCTCTGGATTGGCTCACTCACTTCAAACTGGACATGCATACTGACAGGCTGGAGGTTCCCAGAGTGGAACTCACACAGGATTCTAGGGGTGACATAGGAAGGAGGAATACACTTCTACTCTTGTCACTGCAACTCCTGTTCCTATGGAACAAAATACATGTTGCCTAATCGTAGTGTAGATGGCAGGAATATGAATTTTGGTTCATCATCATGAGATAGAGGTGAGTCACTGAAGAGATGCTGCTTTGGACAGTAAAGTAGAACTGAGCTGGGAAACCCTGGTCTCTCGAATTGCTTTAGGCACTATGGAACAAATATATGTTCCCAATCATGGTATAGATGGCAGGAATGTGAATTTTGGCTTAATATCAGGAGATAGAGGTGAATCACTGAAGAGATGCTGCTTTGGACAGTAAAGTAAAACTGAGCTGACCTCAGGAAGACATTGCAATGGAACTGGGAAGAGACCACAGAGCTCACACTACTGTTTGGAAGAGAGGGGTCAGAAGAGGTGAGCTGACATGAGCTGGGAGCTCCTAGATCTCAGAGCTGACAGCTGACTTCAGAACTCCAGAAGTCTTACCACTGCGCCTTACACTTCACAAATCAGCCCACTGAACTCTATTAACTCTTAACCAGAAATATTTACTAAACAGAAGGTGAAGCAAGAATAATGATCACACAATATTCCACCCATAAATTTAGAATACTCCCACTGATACACAGTGTCAGGGGTAGGGGTGATGACAAACTCACAGAATCAGAGAAAAGAGGCCAAGGATGACTCATAACTCTGGCTGTTGGACCTTTATGTCCTTAATTTCCCTCAGAAACAGTCTGAAGAGCAACTCGCTGATGGACAAGACTGCTTCCTCAATGGCTGCTCTGCTCAAGCCATGCCTGGGCCTTTCTATTATCCTGCTGAGTGAGGCTGCTCCTCTGCTGGCTGGGCCAGTTGAGCTGCTCCTTTTCTGGGCTGTGAGCTATGGTTATGCTCTTTTAGCAGAAGCAGAGAACCCTAAACCTGAGGTCTTCCTAGTTTCTCTAGTTTGGCTTCCTTCGTTTGCCTCTGACTTTTTGGGCAGGAGGTGGCGAGGCAAAAAGCTGGTCTCTCATGAGTCTGCTCTTCCAAGCAACAAATGGTGGTGCTAACCCCTCATCCTCCAGTCCTGAGGTCTCTTTCCTAAACCAATCCAGAGGTTTCTCCTGATACCAGCTTTCAGCTCTGAGATCTAATAGGAGCTCCCAGCTCATCTCAGCTCCCCTCTTCTGACCCCTCTCTTCCAAGTTGTATGCCTAGACACATGACAGTGCAAGCTCTGAGGTCTCTTCCCAGACCTATTCCAACGTCTTTCTGAGGTCGGCTCAGTTCTACTTTACTGTCCAAAGCAGCATCTCTTCAGTGACTCATTCTATCTCATGATTATAAACCAAAATTCACATGCCTGCTATTCACACTATAATTAGGCAATAAATATTTTTCCCATAGTCCCCAAAGCAGCTTAAGGGACCAAGCTATTACTTTTAAAGTCTTCAGGTCTGTCACATGCAAATTAGGTACTGGAAAGCAGTACATTAAGTCAACTTTACCCACAGTTAGCGCCTTTCTCTGCAGGGCTTTTTCCTCCTGTGTTTCTCTCACAACTCTCCCTGTTCCTGCACCTTTCCATCAGCCAAACTGTCCATATGCAAGAGGGGCAACCTTTATATAAGGATCAGCTGAGAAAACTAGAGCTGTTTAGCTTAAAGAAATGAAGACTGATAAAGTCATAAAAACCCTTCAGTTATTTGAAGACAGATGTCATGTGGAAGAGGAATTTTCCTTGTCCTCTTTGTCAAAACTAAGCAGTGAGAGAAAGGATGAAAGGTGCAGATTTTAGCTCTTATAGAGAATAACTTCCTAACAATTAGAGCCATTCAGAAAATAGAATAGACTGCCTCAGGTCCAAGGAGTTCCTCGGCAGGGAGGTCTGTGAAGGCTAGATGACCACTTTTGGAGGATGACGTAGAACGGATTCTCTGCCAGGGACAAGTTAGATTAGATGTTCATGGTCTCATCTAACACTGAGATGACAATGATTCTCTGGAAACCCAAATGTTTATGTCCTGTTACCCAGGCAAGACGACGATGAAATGAAGAAGAGCACCTTCCAAAACTCAAGTTTGGGTCTTGAATGGCTCTATCCATCATAAGCTAGTGCATGATTGTCCATTTCCAGGGTCTGCCCATCTTGAGGCGGGACTTCTCTACATTGAGCATATGTCTATGTGTCTCCTCCCTCATTTGGGCTGCCTCTACTGGGCAGCAGAAACCCAACAGACTCACCTTTTGTTCCTTTTCAGCACTCGACACTCTACAATCTCACCAAACACTTCGAAACGTTTCTTCAGCTCACTGGAACTCATGGTACTGGAGAGGTTCCTAATGTATACCACCCGGCCTTCTCCCTGCTCAAAAAGGAGGAAAACAACACGCTTCAGTGACTCTCTTGCCATGGGCTTAAGGTGGGGGTTTGGCCCAGTGGATGCTCAGGAATAGCAAGAATCAACATCGCAAAGAGGCTGTATTTCCCCCTTCGCCACCTGAAGCTCTGTGACTCAGGCTGAGTGGGGCAATACCAAGACATTTGTTAGCCCTGATAATGATGGATCCCCCTAGTAAAAAGCAAGCTCCTCAAGGGCAGGTACTGTTTCGTCTTTGTACATCCAGAGTTTATTATTAGGTTTTACACAGAGTAGGCACTTAATAAATATATACAGGAATTTTGGATTGGATGACCAGCTAGGTCCCTGGGGTGAGAAGCCAGCCTCCATCCCGGAAGTCAGATCGATCTTCCCCAGCCTGAAAAAAAAAGGGCATTTCCCTTCTTTGATATGGTTATAGGCAGTAAATCAGCAAGCATTTATTAAAACTCTACTATGTGCCAGGCACTATACTAAGCACCAGGGATACAATGAAATAAGCCCCTGCTCATGAGGCTTACATTTTAAAGGGAGAGACAATATGTCAATTACTAGGTACCTGTAAGATATGTACAGAGCATGTGGAAATTTGTGAGAGCAGGCTGAGAAAAACAGGCAGTGATAAAGCTCTGAAAAAGGCCCTCCTTTCTCGTAGTTTCTCCCTGACCTACCTAACACATTCCTCTCACCCTGAACCTTTCTCTCAAGGAGCATCTGCAGCCACCTGTCCAAATCATATCACTCCACTCCCTGCTCTGTTGTTCACAGAGTGGAAGCAAGGGACCTCTGAGATCATCCGGTTCAACCCTCTCACTATCCATAGATATTTCTAGGACCTGAGGATGTTTAGCATCTGGATCTAGAGGCCTAGAGATGAGAAAACTTTATTAGGAATTGTCAAGTACTGAAGGCTTGCCATGTGGAAAGAGTTAGATTTGTTCTGCTTAAGCCCAGGGTACAAAACTACTATCAAGTGGGTGGAAAATCATAGGTAGGGGGGCAGCTAGGTGGCGCAGCGGATAGAGCACCAGCCCTGAAGTCAGGAGGACCCGAGTTCAAATCCGGCCTCAGACCAAACACTTGACACTTACTAGCCTGTGTGACCGTGGGCAAGTCAATTAACCCCAATTGTCTAAAAAAAAGAAAAAAGAAAAAGAAAAAGAAATTATAGGTAGGTAAACTTCAGCTTAATGAGGCACTGACAAGCAAAGCTGTTCAACAACAGAATGAACTATCTCAGGCAGTAAAACGTCTTACTAGAAGTGTCCAGGAAGATGCTGGATGACCACCTGTCCGATGCTGTAGAGACATGGGATGGACTAGATGATCTCTTATGTTTGTTCTGGTTCTGAAATCCTATGGGTATATATGCCTATCTGTACATTTGTCTGTCTCTGTCTATGTGCATTCACACCTTATGAGGGTTGTCAATTCTTAGCATGCCACAGAAGACTTATTTTCTACATGTCCAGGTTCCAGAGAACTCTGGTATGTGCCTGGAAGAGACAACCTCTAGTATGTTTCCACTACATGTGTTTTCCTCAGCCTAGGGCCTCCACAGACTGACTCCAACCTACGTTTCCAGACTTTTTTCTCCATGCTGCTCCCTTATTCATGGCTTTAGCTCCAGCTACACTGGTTCCTCAAGGATACTCTCCATACTCCCACCTCTTTAGAGTCCATCTCCACGACAGAGAATGTGCTCCCAGTTTACCCTCTACTTAGTCATGAAGGCTCATCTCAAGCCCCACTTCTTTGATTGAGTCTTGTCTGGTTGCTGACTCAGTGACCACTCCCTCCTCTCAGTTGTTGGAGCTCTCATCTCTACTCCTCATTTCATTTTTATCACATGCCTACTATTATTAACTTTCTTTCTATGTGTGCCTTTTTTTCTTAAATAGACTATAATCTGTGAAAGAGAAACCCATCTTTGTTACTCTTTATACCTCTAGTAGCACTGAGCTCAGAGATGGAGACTATGTAGACCTCAACACATGTTTGCTAATGGACAGTTTGAGCCTTGAGAAGTGTAGGGTCATAGCCAGATGGCTCAGGGATTGTGAAGGATGAATTTTCATACCCAGGAAGTAAGTTATTTTCTTTATACTTATGGAATTCTAGTGGGAGAATGGAAGGGATGGACAGATAGGACAAAAGGCTTTGCAGTAGGATGACAGGGGACAGAAAATCCTGTAGGAGAATGATGCTCATCCCTACAAAGATACACTTCGACAGTGTAATATGAAAGTCCAAGATACAGAAACACAAAGACCTGTGGTTTAGGTATTTGTGTATCTGCATGTTAGTATAGGTCTATGTGCTTGCCTGTGGGATGGGATGGGTATTGAGGAAGGTTGTGAATCACCTCTGTAAGCTATACCCAATCACAAGATTGAGATCTCACAGTGGACCTGTAAGCCTCATCTGGGAGATCATGAAGTCAGCTGCTGGAGCCATATGCTTCCCTCTTCAGGCTGCTGGGACTTTGAGGGACTCAAAAAGGAGAGGTAGGCTAGCAGTAAAAACCTCTGATCACAACTCTCCCCCATTGTGGGACTTTACTTTCTGAATATTACTTCTCTTTCTTTTTCTTTCACTATGAGCTTAGGAGAATGGGAAGTAAGTTCTTTTCATTCAAAGCTGTGGACCTTTGCTTTCTTGCACAAGTAGTACAGTTCTGCTTCTCTGGTTGCTGAGCACATCTGCATGGAGATGAGCAGTCCTGTCTCCAGAGGGAAGTCCACTAGATCACCCTACTCTTCTGGCCTTTACAAGATACTACCCTACTCCTGGTGCCACTGGCTGGCCGGGAGCCTGGGACTTTGGAAGCTCCCTCCTTTTGGACTGGTTATCTTTTGGTGGGGAGAAATACCATGGCATAAAGTTGGCCTTGGGTCAGCTGAAGTAGAAAGGAGCATTCCCTGATCTCTCAAAGGGTTTTATCTAAGCAAGTCCCATCCTCTTCCGGGAGCCCAGGCTATTTCCCATTCCTTCACTGGCCAGCCCTCCCCAGCTCCTGGGGCACTTACAATGGCCTTTTCTCTCCTCTTCTCAATATGCTGGACAGTTGGGCTTCCTTCTCCACAATGTTCCTTGCTTCCACATCTGTTTATAAACAAGAAAACATAGGCTCTTGGTCTGGGTAGATCAAAGGAAGTTTCAGAACTTCCCCTGTGAGCAATGAGATGCTGGTAGTCAAACGAAAAACTGCCTTCTGCCAGCTACATTCCTCTTAAACTGGATTTGGTACCTGGGACAAATATCCTTCTTCACCTGTACAAAAATGTCTCTGAATTCCTCCTGACTCAGTTCTCTGAGTGAGCGTCCTGGGGCTTCTCCTCAAGAGAGATCCTCGATCAGCCCACCTTTGGTCAAGCAGTTCCTACCTGCCATGAAATTCTTTGGAAGGGGCAGTGTGTTATAACGGAAAGAGGACAGGATCTGGAGTCAGGACACCTGGGTTCAAATCCTGCCTCTGTTGCCTAGTAGCCAAGTCAAGGCCACCTCCCTGAATCTCAGTTTCCTAATCTATAAAACGGCACTACATATCTCACAGAGTCAGTATAAGTATTTTATAAACTGCAAATTTACAAAATTCATATAATTATAAATTGTAAAGCACCACACATGGGAATTCTGAACAAGGGCCTCTTTGCTCCCATTGGGCTAAACTGTAGCCATAATCCCAAGCATGCAGCTATCTTTGCCCCCACAGGTGCAGCAGCCTTTGTCCTTCCAAGTCATCGCTGACTAAGCAGGGCTCACTGTAGCCAGCCCTCCGCAAAAGCAGGAGGAGCTTGCTGACTCCACAAAGCTCATTCTAATAGAAGGCTGTTGTGGGGAAACTCCATTATATAAACGGTTCAAAATGTGTTGTTCATTTACCTATGTCTGGGGGCGGGAATCGGGTGAAGAGATTCCTATCCGTAAAAAGCCAACATGGTTTACAGGAAGCAAAGTGCCCAACTTTTAAAAATGCTCAGCAGAATGAAAATACAACACACAGTTCTTGGTACCACTGAGGCAGTCTATGGCTTCAAGGCATTTAAATCTGCAAGCAGCAGCTTTAATTTAGTATGTGGGTGGGTAAGGATATCTCTCCCGCCTCATCAGCCCTCTCCCCTCCAAGATACAGTAAAACCTCAGATAATGGAGGTCACTTATCTACCAACCTCAACTACTCAAATCCAGTCAAGAGCCAAAGAACAGATAAAATAGGACAATACAATTTGGAGTGGGGAAGGCATCTTTGAGATCAACCTCCCTCACTTTAGGGATGAGAAACTGAAATCCAAAGAGATGGTTGGACTTGACCCCAAGTCACACAGGTATTAAGTATCATAGCCAGAACCCAAACCCAGGACCCCCAATTCTTTCTTTTTCAGCTAAAGTCAATCAATAAGCAATTAAGCACCTATTATGTGCTGAGCGTGGTCTAGGCATTGGGGACATAGATAAAAGAATAATCCCTTACTGTCAAGTAATTTTAAATTCTATCCTGCAACAGACCCAAAAGTTGAACATTTAGAAGATATTAGAAGTCCTAGTACTTTAGCTCATGCATATGGTTTACAGAAAATTCCCCACCCCACCTCCCCAGGAGTATATTTACTCTGATTTTATATACAGTTCACACAAATCTGGGCTATCTGCTTTACCAGCCCATAGTAAATAAGAACCAAACAGGGAGATCGAAGATAGGCGAACAAAACAAACAAACAAAAAATCTTAGAGGAATATGCCTAGGAGGGCTGCCTGGAGCCGAGCAGCCTTGGGACAAATATCCATGTACACACACATCTGTTATCCCTAATTCACAGCCCAGGATAATCATGGATGATGACATGTCTTTAAGTCATCAAGAAAAGGTAAACCAGGGGGGAGGCACCTGCAGTTTCAAGGCCACACCCAAGGACCTAGAAGGCCGCATGTGGCCTAGAAGCTGCAAGTGCCACCCCCCCCTCTGCTAGGGCCCTTCGTATTGCATGGCAAAGAAGCTCTTCATCTGTTCAGGAAAAAAATCACCACTGTGGAAGAACTTTTCAATGAAAATGATGAGTAACTGTACGTGAGTAGATGCTCTGAGTGAGCGGCATGAGCCATGGGGACCCAGAAATAGCAACTGTTCCATGACTCAAGTCTCTCCCCACTCCAGTCCTTCTTCCATTAAGCTGTTCCACCGAATTTTCTGGAAAGCACATGTCAGGTCACCTCTACCTATTCAATAAACTGCAGTGGCTCCCTATCGTCTTCAAGATCAAACATAAAATCCTCTGTTTGGCATTCAAAGTCCTTCATTGCCTGGCTGCTTCCTGACCGCCACCAGTGTTCTTACATCTTACTTCCCTCCAAGTACTCTTTGATGCAGTGTCCCTGGCCTCCTAGCTGTTCCCCACACACTCCCGTTGCCTGTTCATTTTCATTGGCTGTCCCATCATGCCTGGAATCCTCTCCTACCTACCTTCCTTCAAGTCCTAGGTAAAATCCCACTTTCTATAAGCCTTTTCTCAGGCTTCTGGGAAGGTGATGTCATGACTTGCAAGTGAATTAGATTTAAGTGAGGCAGGGCTGTGCAAAGTCACCAGGCTCACTCTCTCCTCCTGAGCCAACTGGGTCGAGTGGCAGCAAGGCCTGGAGTCATCCTAATCTCTATCTTGCCACTGGACCCAGATGGCTCTGGAGAAGAAAGTAAAGCCGGTGACTTTGCACAGACCTGCCTCACTTAAATCCAATTCACTTGCAAGTCATGACATCAACTTCCCAATGTCAACAACTTGGGTTTCATTCATCTTAGTGCCTTCCCTCTACTTATCCTGTATATATCTTGTTTGTAAATAATTTGCATGTTGCCCCCCCATTAGAATGTGAGCTCCTCGAGGGCAGGGACTGCCTTTTGCCTTTCTTTGCATCCCCAGAGCTTAACACAGTGATCAGCACATAGTAGGAGCTTAAAAATGTTTGTTGACTTTTTTGCCTAACCAAGGAAAGGAGGTAAGCTATAGCCTTTAAGGTCTTCAGTTAAAGAGCTTTCTGGGAGCATCCTCAGGAGGTGGGGGACTATGAAATAATCAGGTTTTGTGATATTTCTTTCTTTAAAAACAACAGATTCTTGGATTATCTGATGTTTCTTAGCGGTGGTAGGAATTAGCTTCCAAAGAAAGCAAAAGTTGATATAAGGATGTTTTCTAATTTCATCAGGGTTTCTCACTGAACAAGGAATAGCAGAACTAGAAGAGAACTTAGATTCAGTCTAAGCTTCCCAGCTTATGGAGGAGAAAACTGAGGCATGGAAAAGAAAGATTGATTTGTGCATGCGCGCACACGCGCGCACACACACACACACACACACACACACACACACACTCTTCTTATTTACTGTGGGTAAACCAAATAACTCAGGAATATGTGAATTGGATGAAAAATGACAGTAAATAATCTTGCAGGGGGGACACCTCAGATGGGAAGATTTCCTATAAATAAGATGCATGAGCTGAAGTGCAAGGACTTTTAAAAGTCTCTGGATGGCCAACTTTTGGGGTCCACTGTTCAATAGAATTTTAAGTTCCTTGAGAATAAAGGATTATTTTACTCTTTTAGCTATATATCCAGTGCCTGGCACAACGCTCAGCACAGAATAGGTACTTAATAGTTGTTTGTTGATTTTAATGGAAAAAAGAAGGAATTAGGAGGTCCTGGGTTTGGGTCTTGGCTGTGCCAGGTGGCTTTGGGTCCCATCAAACCATCTCTTCAGCTCTCAGTTTCTCATCAGTAAAATGAGGGAGGTTGGATTAGTTGATCTCAAAGGGGCCTTTCTGCTCTAAATCATATTGTCGCATTTTGCCCTAGAATCACAATGTCCGTGAGGTTGGTTCTTTGCCCTGTGTTTCCACGGCTGAGCTGCTTTTTTATCTAGGCATGCAGTATTACAATGGTCCGGGAGTAAAACTGGTGAGCAAGGTAGGCCTGGGTAAGAGAGGACTCATGGTATAGCGGAGAGGGCCCTGGATTTGGGAATCAGTAAGTACTGTGTTGAAATCCCACCCTAGATACTCAATAGCTGGACAAGTCATTTAACCTCGGTTTTGCCATTTGTGAAATGAGGCAAGGTTGGACTTGCAGGGCCTCCAAGAACCTTCTAGCTATAAATATATGATCCTCTCATAAGAACCAGTTCAAGTCCAAGGACATAATAAGTTCTGATAATGCACCTGGCAGAGAATCTTTAAAAACTATTCTTCTATTCCCTCCTGAACATTCTAAAGATCGATGACTGCCTATTCTGGGAATTAGAATGTACTAGAAAAGGCATAGAGAGGGAAAGGAGAAAAGCGTGAGACGGAAGAATTATCACTGCTGCTAAGAGACAAAATCCAGAGCAAACCGAGCAGGCTTCCGATTGTATTAGAGTAACCATAAGGTTCATCTGTTTCTCCCTCGAATCAATGTAACCATTTGCTTGCTGTAACATAAATGCACTATAATTCTTGCCCTGAATTAGCCAATACAGTTCCTAGCAAAAAGGTTGCAAGTTAACTTCCTAAAATGGATGGGTTTTCCTCACTTTGCATAGCTAGTGCAAATTTTCCTCAGTAAGGTGGGCAGAGATGTTCCCCAGTTAATTTTGCCACCCCGGAGCATGGCCCCCAAGGGTATCTCCCATTCCATGCCTATCCAGAGAGGAGGCTCCTTGCAGCAGTTAGAGTCTGGCTAGGGGCCCCATAGCAGGCCCCCCAGACGCTTTCTCGGAAGGGAGCATGAGGCTCAGGGCTTAGTGGACAAGACGAGATATTTTTGTTTTCTTCAGAAGAAGAAAAGACCTAGTCTTCCTGCTCACTTCACAGATGAGGCTATAACTAGGGCTGCCATGCTGCCTCAGTGGCCACCGGGGGAGGGCCCAGGAAGAGAGAGCTACTCACTCAAGCCGCGTTCCCACCCCAATTGCAGAAAGTTGGACAAGGACGTATTTCCGTACTGCCTCCTGGGCAGACTTTATGTGGCCTTTATCATGTGACCCGCAGTGTATGTCCCTTTCAGTTTCTGTTCTTCCTCCCACCCCAATCCCATCACAAGAGGAGAGACATGGTATTATACAAAGTGCTAGACCTGGAGTGAGGCAAATCCTTCCATCACTTAGTAGTTTTCTGATCCTGGGATAAATTACAACCTCTCTAAGCCTCAGTTTTCTCACCTGCAAAATGGAGATAATAACAGCACATATCTCACAGAGTTATTGGGAGGCTCAGTTGAGATGACATACTATGTAAGCACTATATAAATGTGAGTTATTATTAATAAGAAGCAGGGTGGTACAGTGGATAGAGAACCAGCTCCACAGGCAGGAAGACCAGGCTTCAGTGTCAGCCTCTGACACTGCCTGGGTGATGCTGGGGAAATCACCCAACCTCTCAGTGCTCTAGGAAACTCTAAGGTGCTGAGTCGATTGGTAGAGGGACTCTCCTCATCTGGGAGTTCCCTATACTAATGAGATCACTGATCCAAGCTCTATCCAAGGCTACCTGAAAAGGACTTGAAAAGCAGGTGGCAGCTAGGTATGGCATGTCCTGATTTCCCTCATGGTACCCAACACAGGTCACGAAGCAAGGTGAGGTGGTGCGACACATAGGGAAGGGACAGAGCCCCACCTCCATCTTAAGCAACCATTTATAGCAAGTGCTCCCTTAATGCTACTGCCTTCCCTCTAAGATGGTATGAATTTGTCCCATCTCTAGCTTGCCTGTACAAAGTTATTTGCAGGATGTCTCCTCCATTAGACTGCAAACTCCTTGAGAGTAGTGGTTGTCTTTTGCCTGTCACTGTATTCAAAGTGCTTAGTACAGCACCTGGCACATAGTAGGTGTTTCATAAATGCTTGTTGACTTGATTTGACCAATTTGTTGACTGACTGATTGATTCATAAGCTGAACTGAGGCAGCCCCCTGAGAAATGCTGCCCAAGCCACTCGCTGGAATAGGAAAGCCCTCAGCCAAGAATGAACACCAGTTAGGGAAGGGTTAGGGCGGTGGCAGAGGTGGTGACGATACAACGCTCAGCCGCTAGACGGCAGACACTGAATCGCTCATCTCGGGGCCAAACGCCATTTCCAAGAGAGATAAGCAGGGAGGGGGCAGTGTCACAGTGGTCACGGTGCTGCTACCTGGTCAGTCCGCCTCTATCCTTAACACTGCAGCCCCTAGTTTGTTCCCCGACCTACCTGAAAGTCCTCCGGTTTGCTGGCGACCTTGATCTGTGGCACGAAGAGCCTGAACTAGATCGGCTCCGGGAGCAGTGATGCAAGCTGGCCTTGCTGAAGGGTCCTGGGTGGAGGCAGTGCTGACATGGGAGTGACTGGACACAGAGGTCCTCGTCCTCATCATCCTCTTCTTCCTCTAAGAGGAAACCACTGTCACTGCTGCTGTCCTCAAAAACAGTGTCATATTCTGGGCTCTTGCACGAGGCAAGGTCTTCCTCCTCCAAGGTATCATCCAACAACCCAAAGTGCTTCGTTAAGCTGGCTCGGATCTCATGGTCTCTCAGGGGCTTGCTGGCCTTGCTGGGAGTTCTGCAGTTGCCGCCTTCCTTGCTCAGTCCTTGTGTATCGGCCCTGGACACCCTGGACTGGGATCCGTCCTCTGTGTGGGCTGAGGAGGGCTCCCAGGACCTCAGCACCTTTCTCTGGAAGGATCCTTCTGGCTTGAGGACCTGGCAATAGTCATGGTCTCCAAAGGATCGGGAAAAGGGACGCTTCTGGCCTACCTGGGATGGCTGAACTGTGGCTCGGCTCAGGTGGGCCAAGAGCTCACTCCGCTCAGGATACTTCTTCCGGGACTTATGGGACCCTCTAGCAGTTGCCACAGGCCGGGGACCCTCAGGGGAGGGGATAGATGGAGCTGCCTCTTTGTTTGGCCTATGGTTCACATCTGGCTTGAAGGGGTCTTCCTCAATAGGTTTGTAGGGTGGCGTGGTGGGTGGTGTGAGACCTTCTCCCCAGCACCAAGAAAAAACAGACAGCGTGAGTTTGATGCTGGCCCCTTTCACATAGGCTGCTAATTAAGACCTTGGCTGCCTTTATCTAATAAGACCCAAGGGTCCCATCCATCCTCGTGACTCACCTGGATAGGATTCTTAACCTTAGTCAATCAGAATCCAACCCTCACTTTCTTTCTACCAAAGTAATGTTCACCAATTTATGACTCATCAAGCCTAGCCCTCAATAAACTGATGGTAGTTTGCAGGAGCTCATCAGGGAACTGCTAATATTCCCAGGGGTCTAGGGGTTACTTTTCCTCTCGATTAACATGCAAAACTCAGGCCTCTATCTGTGGAGAAAGACTGAATCTGCCTAGCTCATGCCCACATTCCTGGCATGGGAAGGGGACCTAAAGACCAAATGATCTGACCTATACTTGACTGAGAATCTTTCCTACAACATTTTTCACATGTAAACGTCCAGCCTCCACTTGGAGACATAAATAAATACTTCCTGCAGCAGCCTCCTCCCCTCCCCCCCACCCTGGTGCTTTCATTCAGACAACACAGAGAGCGAGGGGGCAGGGTTAGCATCGAGATCGTAAATGCAGAATTGCCTGACCAGGTTCCCAATGGAGTACCATGTTTGCCTGAGCCCACATTTCCCAAAACTATCCCAGGAGGATCTGGGTTTGGGTGGAGCAAAGGTCTCATCAGACTTTTGCTGCTGGACCACCCTGACCGTAGTCACCCAACCCCAATCAGGGTCATCCTGGAGGTGCAGTAGCTAGAATTCTACCACAGGTGGCACTATTAACGCCTAGGAAGGAGGAGGGGCCCCCTCACCTGCCGTCCCACAGAGCTCCACGGTCAGCACCTGGTCAAAGTTGCGTTTCCCCAGTGAAGGGTCGCTGGTAAGAAAGAAAAGGGGAGCTCAGAGATGTTGTGATCATTATACCATCACACAGAGAAAAGGGTGGACAAAAAGGAAGCATAAAGATCCTGCTGTGAGGGGCAGCCAGACAGTGGTCCCCACGGTTATTTTGACAGAGTAGCTCCTGATCCTCAGTGTTTCGAGGATAGAAAGTAGCACAACAGTTTCTGGACAGACAGGGTGACACTGTGTCTGGAGGTATGGGAGGGGGTGGGAGAGGGGGAAAAGAAAGCAGAAGAGAAAGGAGACCTCTTCCTATGGGCTGGCTGAATCTGCTGAGATTGTGCGATTGGACCTCCTGGCTTCAACCTTTCTCCCCTGGGCCTCCAGAGACGAGCTTCTAGACTGAAGCTGATTTTAAAAAGAACAGCTTCCTCCCTAAGGTCCCCAGAGAATGCCTGCCCCCCGAAAATACCATATCATACCAGACCACGCCACAGCACACTGCACCATGCCAAACGCGTTTCACCACATCCTATCACAGCACACTGCACCTCCCTATATCTCACTATGCCATGTGATACCCAGCGGTGCCGGGAAGGCTTCTGGCAGGGGAGGGACTTCGAATCAGAACCAAGTTCAAGGGCCAGAGACTCCCTCACCCCACTCCGCCACGTGAACTTTCTTGAAGGAATCCACTATGATTCTGTAAACTTACTTCTGTGACAAGGCCAGCGTGAAGCACCTGGGAGTTTCTGAAAAGGAAGAAACAAGACAGATTCACATGCAGGACAAAGCCATCAAGCCAGCTCCACGACATTTGTGACAAAGTTGATCTCATCTGATTCCCCCATTCGAATGTACTCTGGGGCAGCCAGGTGGCACAGTGGATAGAGCACTAGCCCTGGAGTCAGGTGGACCTGAGTTCAAATCTGTCCTCAGACACTTGCTAGCTGTGTGACCCTGGGCAAGTCACTTAACCCCAATTTCCTTAAGAAAAAAAAATGTACTCTCTTTGAGGGTGGTCACTTTCTTGGTGTTCAAGTGCTCAGCACATGATACGTGCTTTATAAATTCCTGTTAACTGACTGATCCCTCAGAAACTAAGAAAGGCCAGACTGTGGATGCCAACCACGAGATGCCCATCAGTGTCTGGGACTGGGGATGGAAGCTACAAGGACTCTTAGGACAGACAAGAGAGTCAAGAATCTCAGCACTGGAAATGGCTTTCAAGTCATTTAGCATAACCCCCTCAATTTACAGGTGTGGAACCTGAGGTCCCGAGGAAAGAAACCAATGTACCCAAAGTCACATAGTGAGCTGGCAGCAGAGCTGAGCCTAGAGCCCCTTGATGACCAAGTCCAATCACCGTGTTTCTCAGCTCATCCTGTGTCCTCCCTCACGACCCTGCCCTCCACACCCCTCTCTCTACCTCTCGAGCATAACTGAGGGCAGCTGTGGTCCTCATCCGTCTCACCACTGCCACTCTCGCTGGGGCTCTCCAGGGCAGGGAGCGGGGCTGCTCTCTGCTGGGACTGGTCACAGACACTCTGGCCTTCCTCCAGGTTGCCCGCCTCCATTTCCACCTCAGCATCATAGGTCTCTGGGTCCAGGCAAGGGGAGGAAGGGTCTGCCCTCTCTCCCCGGGGCACCTCCTCCACAAATGAAAGCCACGGGCCTAGTTCAGGGTTCAGTCTCTTGGAGCGTCGAACAGCATAAATAGAGCTCTCTGGCTTCCGTCCCACCTTGGTCCCGGCTGACAGAGGTGGACTCTGTGCACGAGTTCTTGCCTCCCTTTTCCCCGCCTCGTCTTCCTCCTTTGCCACTGGAAGAGCATTGATTTCTTCCTTCACTTCCAGTTTCAGGGGCCTGAAGCTTGGCCTGGGTTCTGTGGTCCCAGGGGAGGCCTTGATCCGTACCTCACAGGCCTTCTCTGACGAGGGTCTTTGGCTTTCCTCAGAGGACCCGGGGCTGGGCTTGGTGCTGGGTGATAAGGAAGCATAGATTGGCATGGCCAGCCGGTAGGGCTTGCTCACGTCACAAAAGAGGTCTTGAGCCAACAGCTCTCTCAGGATAGAGAATTTGGACCAGGAAGCTTTGGGACGTTGGAAGGTTGTTGGCCTCTGCACTGGGTTGTCTGGTGGCTTCCCCTCCTCATTCTTGCAGGGTGCTGCCTTTTGTAGCATGCAGTCGGCCTTGGCTCTCTTGAAAGGGTTGCTGCAGGGCTGAGGGGGGGTTGCCAAGCCTTGGACGGGCAACTTTCTCTGGGGAAGGCAGTAAGTATGCATGTAACGGATCAGCTCCACCACGGCACGCATGTCCTCTGCACACGCAAACTGGTCTCCGGCAGTTGCTTCAGATGGCATAGGGGAAGCCAGTGAAGAGGTGTGGGCCAGCCTGGGGCTTAAGCAATCCTCCCCCGAGTCACTTTCTTCCTTGATGGGGGGTCGAGGGCTCTGGGCTGGTGGGGAGGGAGGCAGCTGCTGCCATCCACTGTCTGGAGCCCGAGGGATAGTGCGAGGACAGCAAGGAGCTGAGGTGAGATGCCTGTGCAGTTCAGTGTAGCTTCGGCTCTGAGTCTGAGGAGGCAAGGACTTCTTGTCCTGGGGGGTTTCCATCTAAAGAGAGACAGAGAGAAGCAGTCGTAAGGAGACAAAACCCGTATCTCTCTCTTTGTGACTGCACAGAAGGATAGGCCAATGTCCCATGGAGGCAGCATGACAGTGTGACTTAGGGGAAAGGACACAGAATTCAGAATCAGGATACCTATGTTTGAACCTCGAATCTATCATTACTAGAAGCATGACCTTGCATAAGTCAACTTTGAATCACTGGGTCATAGTTTCGTCATCTATAAAAAGAGGGTATTGCATTAGACGATCTGGACAGATACCTTCTAGTGCTGAATTCTATCATCCTATTACTTAGCAGCTAAGTGGACATGGGTGAGGTCCTCGGTTTTCTTAACTGTAAAACGGGGACAATAAGATCCACACTGTCTACCTTACAGGACTATAGTGAGGAAAGCTCCTTGTAAAGCTGTGAAATGCATAACCATGAGTTGTTATTGGTCATGAGTCCCCAGTTTGGTTGTGTGCACTCACGTTCACCCACATAAGCCCTCAGTCTTCGCTTTTACTCTCTGCCTGCCCTTTCCAAGGTCGCTAAAATTCTGTTCCTGCTTCTTTTTGTGGGTTTGTTCTAATCCTGCTATGTCACAGTCTCCAGTGAGAGGCCTAGGGAACTTGTCTCAAAGGTCTCATGGTAACAGCCCAGAGCATGCCCAACAGGCAGGAACTGGGGTGGGGGTGGGATCTCATTTGGTGGATTGTTAGGAGAAACCAAGGACAACCACAAAGTTCTAACTCCTGTGATTATTTAATCCCTTTCGTTATCTCTTAGTGTTATCTTGGGCAGTTTATTCCATGGAGTTCTTTGCTGGGCCTTGCCAACCCTGCCTTTCTATAAGAATGTGATGCTAGGAGCATTATCCACTCCAAAGGCAGGATGGGCATCACTGGCATATCCCACCAGAACATCCATTCATACAGCAATGACCGACAGAATTTCCCACGTCACTATGACCATCGAGGCTCTGACATTAACTGGTTCATTTTTTTCCCCATCTTTTAAAATTGTTTTTATCATTTACTCTTTTATTTATTTTTAGGCAATTGGGGTTAAGTGACTTGCCCAGGGTCACACAGCTAATAAGTGTCAAGTGTTTGGTCTGAGGCTGGATTTGAACTCACGGCCTCCTGCCTTCAGGGCCGGTGCTCTATCCACTGCGCCACCTAGCTGCCCCTATTAACTGGTTCTTGTAATACTGGTACCAATGATCCTTAGATTCTGAGGGTTATGGAGGCTGGATCTCCATGGAAACCCAGAAATCCTCAGGTTGCCTATGTTTTAATCTGGAACACAGCAGAGACCAAAGAATTCAAGGCAATGCCCAGACAGGGCATTTGCAGACAGCAAGTTGCCTAGTCAGGATTAGAACCCAGGACCTCTCCTGCCAAATTCAAGACTTTTTCACTGAACTACATGAGATGATTACGTTAGAAGCAGAAGGCTGGCTTAAACATCACACCAGAAGGTATTCCTGTCATCTGCAGGACTGTATACATTCATCTAGTGTTCCAACTGGTCTGAGGTTCATTCCTCCTCCACAGTGCCTTTCCCTGGGATGCTAAGGTCAGAACTGGAACAGACTCACTTTACAAAGGAGGAAAAGGAGCTCTACAGAAGCGGGGTGACTTTGACCCAAGGTCACCCAGAGAGTCAGCAGTGAAACTGGGACTAGAGCCCAAGGCTCCTGACTCTCACTCAATAAATAAAATATTAGTTGAAAAATGAATGAAGGAGCGAAACAAGGAACTCTTCTATTCTTCTGTTTCTGATAGCCTAGCATGTACCCATTATCACGTAATTCCCTAAAAGGGACCGTTTCTCAGCAAGGGACCCTGGTCTGGCTCCTCTGCTCCTTCCACGTTTTCCCTACCCAGAAGGCTCCTCCCTACTCCTTCCACTTAGGAGAGTCACAGTGTCAGTTTCTTTGTGGCATGACCCCACAGCCCTTCCCTCTGTATTCAGCTACCGGACAGACTGCTGACCACAGGACTCTGACTTTACTGTGGGGCTCAGCCTGGGGAAGTTTTAGAAGGAAGTGTGGGTGCCCCTTAGGCAAAGAGAGCATTGACATGGAACAAGGCATATGTGTATGTCTAACTCTTGGGTCTTGGATGGGGAAGCAGGAAAAGACAGCATCCATGTTAACTAGAAGAGCTGGCAGGAAGCCGAGTACGCACCCAGAGAAGACACAGTTTCATAGCTTCCCACGGAACCTTTACCCCGCGCCTAGGAATACCTTGAGGTAAGGTCGCTGGCTTTTGGACTTGGATGCTCCTTGCCGCCGGACGGCCCCTTCCTTTTGGGCCTCCACGCTTGCAGTAGTGTGGGATGGTGAGAGGAGCAGCTTCTGCAGCTAGAGGAAGGAGCGGAACACAAAAAGAGGCATGACTCCAACCCCAGACGCCACCACTTCTAAAGCAAACGGGAGTGCCTAGGGTCACAGACTCAGAGAAGGAAGGGTCCTTAAACATCACTGAGTCCATCCCCCTCCTTTCACAGAGTCCCAAAGAGGTGAAATGATTTGCCCAAGGTCGCACAGGTACTGAGTGATAGACCTGGGATTTGAATGCAAATCAAGAATGAAATATCCCACCCAGGAAACAACATCAAGGAATTAGAGCAAATTCTTGGATTTGAACGTTTCCATAGAAGTGCTGCCTGTATGGGGGGGGGGGGTCTGAACCAGCACCCTCTTTTTTTTTTTTTTACAGAACAGGAACTGAGACCCAGAAAAAGAAGTGACTTAGGATCAGAGATTTAGAGTTGGAAGGGCCTTAGAGGTCTAACCTAACCCCCTCATTTTTCAGATAAAGAAATTAACCTCAGGGAGGCTAAGGGATTTGCCTAAAGTTCCACACGTGGAATGTAGGAGGGATGGGATCAAACCCAGGTGCGTGGACACCAAGTTCAGCGCTCTTTCCACTATACTAGGCTTCCTCCAGTTGGAGAGAGGGTAAAGGAAGTCCTGCTCTAAGTCTGAATTGAACTAAGATGCCTTCCAGGTGTTAAGTTTGAGCTCCTGCGATCCTAAGTAACACGGTACAGAGAAGGTTTTTGAGCCTCTCACAGATGGTGCCACACAGGGGACACGGTGAAACTTCTGACGTTTGCTGGTTCTTACACGGAAGACCCCCCCCCCCAGCTGTGCCTCCTCCAGCTCTGATAGGCACACCCAATGTCCCCAAAGGCAGAAGTCAGAACTCAAGTCTGGAAATCCAAAGGCCTCTATTTTCACATTTCTTGCAAGGGACAAAAAAAGCTTTGTCCAGCTTGTGCCGCACAGGCCGGTGAGCATGGGTGCGAGGTAATCAAGAACTGTCGCAGAAATGAGAAATATAAATTCCTACCACAGGGGGCTGCTCTTAGCTTGCCCAGTGCAAGGCCTTCCCTTCTTTCCTGCAGAGAAACAGCACAGTTTCTTCCCCTTCCCCCAGGCCCAAGGCGGGGAAAACTTTCTTTGGCTAGTCATTTAGACAGGTGGTTCCAAAAGAAGCAAAGTGCTTTTCCCCTAGGTGTAGCAAGTTATCACCGTATAGGATCAGGGACTCATAGGCCTCAAAGATTGGAACAGAGGGGCAGAGTGGGAAGGAACCCTAGAGAAGATCTACTCCAACCTTCTCATTTTAAAAAGAGGGAAACTGAGGCCTGGAAAGGGAAAGTCAGTGGCACCCAATCCCACAAAAGTAGATGTCACAAGTTGTCAGCTGGAAGCCTTATCACTACTAGAACTCCCTAGCCTTAGAGGGGTAGGACAGAGGGTCATGGGATTCAGAGCTGGAAGGGTCCTTCAAGATAGTCTCAATCCAATCCTCTCCTTTATCTTAGAGATGAAGAAACTCAGGACTAAAGAGAAGTGATTTACCCAAGGGTTACATAAGTAGTAAAGAGCAGACTCAGGATTTGAACCCAGGTCCTCTGACTACAAATCCAGTGCCCTCCTTGGCATTACAGTAAAGCAATGATTCTCAAGGTTTTGGGGCTCAGGACTTGCTGATCCTCTTAAAAATTACTGAGGGCCTCTCAAAGAGCTATTGCTTAGGTGGGTCATATCTGTTGTATTAGAAATTACAATGTCTTAGTTTTATTAGGAAAACAGTTTTGACTTTGAAGATCCCTTTAAAGGGTCTCAGGGACCCCCAGGAGTCTCCAGAACATACATTGAAAGCCACTGCACTATGGCTGCCTCCATGAGATTGAGGAGAAAGAGATCATTAATAAATTGTGTACATAAGGGAAACATTTCTCTTTGGGCCATAACCCCACCCTACATCCACCCTCTCAATTTACAGATGGGGAAAGTGAGTCCATTATGTGGAAGGGACTTGCCCACAGTCATACCGCCAATAAAGACCACAGATGGGATAAGGATCTAAGCCATCTACCTCTCAGACAAGGTCTCTTTTCACTTTCTGATCATCAACTCTTATTGTAGTTTTTCCACAGAGAAGCTGGAAGTAAGTTTGACTCCCAGATTAGGCAGGGCCCAGAGCCTGCCCACTATATTAGGATGTGACACAAAACAGTCTTTTGAGCAGGAAGTAAAGGGTATGAGTTTGGGGAAACTGAAACAGAAGAAACAAGCTTATAGAGGTGGAATATAGACGAAGGAGCATAGGACATAAAACCAGAAGAGAGCTTAGAGATCGTTTAGTCCTAACTCTTCATTTTACATATGATACAACTGAAGACTGAGGAATTTAAACAACTTAGTCATGAGCACATAGAGACACCGAGTGGTAGAGTCAGGACTGAAATACCATCCCCTTAAGTCCAGTGTTTGTTCAACTATGTCATATGTATACACATGTACCCATTCAAACCTCACAGGTAATGGATTCCAACCCTCTAATACCCAACCCCCACCCCCTGGAAAAAAAACCTGATCTAGGGATAAATCTAACATGGGAAAAAAGTACACCCTTTTGTACCCATCATAACCATGTAGCCAGCTTATCATGGGCCATGCAATTCCATTTAAATAGTAGTAAGAAATGGATTCTTACCAGAGAAAGTTCATCAACCTCAGCCCCAAGGGCCTGCAGGCCATCCAGGGCATCAGGACTGGCTTTGGGTGAGGGGATGGGTGAGGCGGGGTCTGGAGTGGGCACATCCCCATCTTCCAGAGTGTGGAAGGCAGCCAAGCCCATGTCCTCTTCCTGGATATCATCCAGGCTTTCGGTGAGTGCAGCCAACAGGGCCTCATTTTCACCACTTATGATCTAAAATAGGGAAGAAAGAGTTGTGTGATTAATAGATGATGATTACAGAAACATGCTTACCCTTTGGGCTGGGGTCCCTGGGCCTTTCCCTTTCCTTTCCTACCATAACTCTGCCCACATAGCTCAATTCTCTGCAGAACCCAGAGCAGGTGTTCCATAACTATTTCACAGATCACAGAAAGTTAGAGCTGGAGAGAACCTCAGAGATTATCTAGCTCAAACCCCTCACTTCATACATGAGAAAATGAGACCCATGGACGGGAAATGATTTTCTTAAGGTCATGAATCCAATCGGCAGCAAAACTAAGACCAAAAGACCTGACGGTCTTCTGGCTGAACCTAGTGTTCTATGAAAGAAAGGGAAGAGAGAAAAGGAAAGAAATGAAAGGGAGAAGAGAGAGAGGCAGGAAAGGAGAGGAAAGGAAGAAGAAAAGAAGGGGAGGAGGAAAAGAAGAGGAGGAAGAAGGAAGGAGAGAGAGAGAAAAGGGAGAAGAGGGAGAAGGAAGAAGAAAAGGGAAGATAGATAGATAGATGGGTGGATGGGTATGGGTATCACCTAAGTTTTTTTCAAAAGATTCTCGAATCTTTGTGAAGATGTATTTAGTTTTGAGTGAAATGTTTACAAAAGATGGGAAAACAAAACTAACCAAACCCCAGTTATGCAGAATAAGCTTGTTAGCAATACTGTCTGGGTACCTGTCACTTCTATTTCCTTTTCCTGGGCTGTAACTAGATCCTATCTAAACTTTGCATCTCACTCAGTTCCTAGCACTGCATACAGCAAGAGATCACTAATATTTGTTACTAGATGACAGAGAGCTCAGCAGCTCATTAAAGTGAGGGGACATTACCACAGTGTATTACAGTCAAGTGATGCTTCAGTTTGCTGGGAGGGAGAATGGGCCCTCCCTCTGAAAAAAGGAAGAGAAAACCTCAGAGGATGTCTTCAAGGACCACTTTTAGGCACTAGAATAAAGGAGACTTTTAGTCAATAATTGGTTCACATGATAATATCTGAGGTCCATCTAAACTCTGAAGATTCTGGAATTCTGGTTTGTTTGTTTGTTTTTTTCATTTATATCAGATCTATTTGCTGTGCTCCTTGAGGGTAGGGACCATTTCATTTTATCTGATATTGTAGTACCCGGCAGTTCTTGACATAAGTAGTCATTGAAAAATCAAAAGTAGTCATCAAAAGAAATCAAAGTGGGCTTAATAAATGTTTGCTGAATCTGGGGAGGTGGGTGAAGGAAGGAAATGAATTAATATTTTCACTTCCAGGAAAGCTTCTCCATCTTCCCTTGATCATTTCCAAAACAACTTAACTCAGTAAAGCACAGATGGGCAGAGCATAGGCCATGATGGAAAAAGTCCTGGCTTGGAGGTCAGGAGACATGGATTCTAATCCCAGCTCTATCACTTACTAGTTGTGACCTTTAGCAGGCTTCCTCATATGTTAAATGAAGTTGGATTAAGTTATCTCAAAGGTCACTTTTAGCTCTAAGACTTTGAAGCTAGGCATTTTTCCAATTAATAAATGAGTACCTCCAGTCTTAGTCACAGCTTATTGCTGGGCCAGCATGATTCCAAAGAAGGGTAGACTACCCAGGAACTAAGCTGGATGCCTCCAATGTATCCCTCCTGGCTGTTGGCCAGTGATGGAAATTCCACTATTAGAACTTCATTCTTTTGGCTATAAAACTTGAATTCCTTGAAAATACAAATCTCCCCAGAAGGATTTACTTTATGTTAGTCTCTGTCACTGATATCTCAGGAGGAATACATTTCAGATCCTTACCTAAAAACCAGTTTTGAGAGGGAGATGGGAATGAAAGCCAGAGGCATCTAGTCTACATCTTGCCTAGGTCTTCTGACTCCAAATGCAGTAATCTTTCTTCTTCACCACAGATATCTGACTATTTTGTTCATTTCTGACTCTTCTACAGCATAGGGCCTTGTAGGTGACCTTGGAACATCCATGTCTACTGAGGATGACGGTCACAGTGTGGTCCAGGCTACCTTCCAAGCTTACAACAGAGTATAGGTCTATGGAGTTTGCACAGTCGAGGGAAATCATTGGCCACTTTCCAGGAAACCTCAGAGGGCTGGTTTTCATTTGCCACCTGCTTAAGACAAGGAGAAATGAGGAGAAGGTATAGATTCCACCAAAGCAGGAGATCTCTTTGTTTCAAGGTGAAACGCAATTTGCAATTGTCCTCACTTGCTCTCTGACAACCTGGCTTTGGTCATTAGCTCAGCAAGCAACCAATGAGGTGCCAGGGAGTCAAGCTATACAGACAATGCATCAAGGAGCAGTGTTGCAAAAATCACCCTGGGGAGATGACATGAATTCACCTAAATGGGGGGGGGGGTCTTTCCCAAAAGAATCGACTCAGAGAGATGCCACGTAAATATGCTGCCGGCACATTAAGGTGGCTCCCGATAACTGCACCAGGGAGACACCAATCTCAATTTAACTAACATGCAACTATACGGGTGACATATGAGCAAAGAGAAAGAGGGCATTTTCTATCTGCATGGAATGCAATAGAGCCACATATTAGCACTACAGAGGAAGGAGAGGGGAAGGTACCCTGAGCATGAGAACATAGGGGCATCAGACTATTGTGACCATGGCATTATTTCTTATTCATCTGATGCTCTGGACTCTGACACTATATTCCCCAAATCACCTTTGGATCTACACCTAGACTCAGAAAAATTTCCTGAGTTCACATCCTGCTTCAAATACTCACTAGCTTGTGACTCTGAGGAGACATAAACTTCAACTGCAAAATGTGGGAATTAGACTTGAGGGCCCCTAAGCTCTAAATTGGGAAGCTAGGTGGCTCAGTGGATAGATTACTGGGCCTGGAGTCAGGAAGACTCATCTTCCTGAGTTCAAATCCAGTCTCAAGACACCTATTAGCTGTGTGATCATGGGCAAATCACTTAATCCTGTTTGCCTCAGTTTCTTCACCTGTAAAATGAGTTGGGGAATGAAATGGCAAACCACTCTGGTATCTGCCAAGAAAACCCCAAATGGGGTCACAAAGAGTCAGACACAACTGAAAAACAAATCAACTCTAAGTTTTAAATCTATGATCCTGAGATCACAATGTGATGTCCCAAATTGGCTTTACCACTGGGAAGAGACATGAGGTTTTGGATCCAATGAACTGTTATATTTCTCAATGTAAATCAATAAAAAGACATCTAATCTTTCAGGTGTATTTGCATACAATTACAAGCAGCTAGAGTGTTGGAACTTGAGTCAGGAGGACCTGCTTTGTTAAAACCCAGCCTCAGATACTTATTAGTTGTGTGGCCCTGGGCAATTCACTTAACCTGTCTACCTCAGTTTCCTCATCTGTAAAATGAGGATAATAGTACCCCCTCCCAGGGTTTTTGTGAGGATAAAATGAGAGAATATTTGTAAAGTGCTTTGCAAACTCTAAAAGTTACATAAATGCTACTTGTTATAATTATCATTATTTTTTATTGTTGTCATGACTGACCAGTAAGAGTCAGTCCCCCAGAGGCCTAGACACCCTAGTTAGAAGGAACTAACAAAATTGAGGTTTTGAGCCTGGAGGCCTGAGGGCCAGAACGTGGAATGATAGTGCTGCTTCCACAGGGAAGACATTCTGTGAGCCCAGCCCAGCTGTCCCAGGGGCTTTTCTTCCAGTCATCTTGATTATAATACCTAACGACTCATTGAGCTGAAGTACCATTTGCAATTTATCCCAAGAGGCAATGGGCTCCAACAAAATGCAGCCATGGCTTGACCCCTCTTTGCAGCCCGGCAGCCAAATTCTCCCAACTTGATTTAGGCAACTGTGGTACAAGGAAAAGAACACTGGATTTTGCATCAGAATACCAAAGTTTGTGTTTTGGCCGTATTCTGCTACTTACTTGTTATCTATAATATTAAATAAGTCACTTTCCCTCTCCCTGAGTCTCAGTTTCCTCATCTGTAAAATGGGGATAGTAATACTTATACTACCTACCTCACAGAGGGTGTTTGGGGGGAAAACTCTGTCGAGTTTAAATCACACTATTAATGAGAATTGCTAGCAGTTCTTGAAGCCATTCTAGCTGCCTCCATCCCTGGTCCATAGTCTAAATGACAGCCCAGGATCCTTGTTTATCATGTTCAGGTGAGGCTCACTGAACTTGATTGCTTCACAGAAGGATTCAATTCAACTTTATAAAGTCCCTACTATGCATAGTGCACTGTGGTCCTTGCTGGAGAAACCAGAGAAGTGGGGAGTGGGTGCCTGTGTCCTAAGCACCCATGAGTTTGATGTGACTGGCAGCTATTCAAGATTTTCTTTGATTGGCAAAATTCTAAAATTTAGGGGAGTGGGGAGGGAGGGAGGGAGGTGGCAGGAGAAAACAAGCAGCAGATGAGGACAGAGGAAAACTGAAGTTAAAATATCTGTCATCTCTTCTTAGAAGGGAATGGACTCTGAGATTCCTTGATAGAGAAACATCAAAAGAATTGGCTGCAAATCTTGACCCTGCCATTTTTCTACCTGTATGACCTTAGTGGAGTCACCTCTCTTTTCTATATAAAATAAGTGATCTTGATTTAATGATGTGTAAATACGTTCTAAGACTAAACCTATTCTATGATCTTATGATCCTATGAAACATTCCACCGCTTCAGAATCACTTACCCATTCCCTAAGTATCCAGGAAACTGATAAGTAGTATTGCTGGGTGATAGGGTGGATAGAGCTCTGGGGCCTGGACAGGAAATCCTGAGTTCAAATCTGCCCTCTCATACTTACTAGCTTGACCTTAGGCAAGTCAATTAGCCTCTTTTCCTCAACTGTAAAATGGAGACAATAGTAGTAGTACTGTTGGGGTGCTTGGGTGCTTATGCTTGGGTGCTTGTACTTGGACCCCAATTTCTCCCTAGCCTCAGAAACACTGTCCCTTGATAATCATTTAAGATCAATTGAGCCCCAATAAGGGCCAAAAACCTAAATTAA